CCTCCTGCTTGACGTGGGTCGGGGCCCCGTTCTGGCTCGTGGCGGCCAAGGAGGCGCCGCGCTCTGGGGGCGAGGGAGGCACTGAGCGGCCCCGCGGGCCTGCCTCCATCTCCAGCAGGGCCTGCTGCTGCGCTTGCATCTCACGGCGCGCTTGCTCCAGAATGTTCTTGATGGCATCTTCTGAGGTGCTGGTGGGGGCTGTGCCATTGGAGATGCTCAATGGGGTCGCTGAAGTCTTCGGATCACCTGTGGGACAGATGACAAGGTGGCTGGGGGCCCAAGCGCAGGGTGTGGCTTGAAGGACAAAGATGTTCACAGCACAGTATACCAGCAAAATGCTGGAGGCAACCTCTGTGTCCAACAGCTGGGGACTGGGTTAAGTAAATTACCATCCATCCATATGGCAGAATATTAGACAGCCATTAAAAACCAGGTGGACAGTGAGATTTTAGCATGTGTGGAGAAAGTGCTCATGGGGATAACAACAAGAAAAGAGACTTGTCTTTGCATAAGCTGTGATCCATCTATGCAAATAAAAGCAAGTCCCAGGAGAGAACACATAGAGTAAACTGCTTACTACTGAGCTGTGAAACAAGAAGTGAAAAGTCTTTTTTCACAAGTGGTAAACACAAAGGAAAAACAGAACAGTGCTCCCCTCCGCTCTCCAAGTGTCCTCTCCCACGCTGGGGTCTCCCCATCCCTGAACCAACCCAGATCCACACAGCCCTTCCGCTATCATATTGTTGTGCAGTCTCCACCCCAGGGGATCCTCACAGCCCCATTAAAAAGAATTTCTATTATTTTCCCAATTAAAAAATTAATGCAGCAATGGAATATCATTCAGCCATAAAATGGAATGAAGCAGATACATGCTACCACATAGAAGAATCTTGAAAACATGATGCTAAGTGAAAGAAGCCAGACACAAAAGGCCACACACTGTATGGTTTCCATTCGTATGAAATATCCAGAACAGGTGAATCCACAGACACAGAAAGTAGACGGCGGCTGCCTAGGGCTTAGGGAAAGTGGGGAGTGACTGCTAATAGGTAAGGTGTTTCCTTTTTGGGGTGAAGACGTTTTGGAACTGGAAAGACATAGTGGTTGCACGACATTGTGAGTATACTAAATGCCACTGAATAGTTCACTTTAAAATGGTTAATTTTATGTTATGTGAATTTCACCTCAATTAAAAAAAAAAGAAACACATTCCTATGGTGGAGAGCTAATGTGCAAAAAGTTAAGATGAAAATAAAAGTGCCCTCTAATCTCTCCCCCCGAGGCAACCACAGGAGATGTTCTCATGTTTTTCCTTCTGCTCTATTTTCTAACTACTGTGCGAAGGATGATCATACTGGACACATAGAAATGTAGCCTGGTTTGCCTTCATTTCGTACTGACATGAGTATTTTTTCTTACAATTAAAAGTTCTTCTATCTTTAATGGCTGCATATGCCACTGAAGAGATACCCTCTGCTAAATACCCTCACCTCTGGGTCCTGGAGTGAGTGGTGGAGGGGATGGCCAGGGTCCCAGGGACCTGCTGACCCACCCTTCCTACCCGCCACCTCCCCAGGAGACCCTCCAAGACCAGCAGGCAGGTCTGGCCCAGGCTCCTGAGAGATCACGGCTCCTGATCCTGGTGCGTGTGACACTTTGCGTGCACTCTTTAAGAATGAAGTCTCTGTTTCTCCCAGTCCTGTGGAGTGCCTGCAGTTGAGCCTCACTGGCCTTCAAAGCCAAATGCTCTGGGGGTTCCTCCTCCCAGTGCTGGACCCCTGGGCTGGGGCGCCGGATGTGGGGCTCAGAGCCCTTACTCCCACGGGAGAACCCCATTGATGTAATCATTCTCCAGTTCGCGGGTGGCCCACCCGGGGACTATGGGACCTGATTATATCATAAGTGCGCCGTCCTACCATCCCGCTGTGGCTTCCTCTTTATGTCTCCAGCTGTAGATCTTTTTTGGTAGGTTCCAGTCTTTTTTAATCTGTGGTTGTTCAGCAGTCAGTTATGGTTTTGTTGTGTCTGTGAGAGGAGGTGAACTCAAGGTTCTACTCCGCCATCTTTACGAGATGCTCTTCTCTCTTCTTATTGTGATGTTGTCTTTTAAATTTTCCTGCTCCCTTGTTTCTGGCCCCCTGGTGGAAGAACACTGTACAGGGAGTCAGGAGACCTGGGCTCTCCTCTGATCTCTGTGTGACTGTACGTCTCCCTCTCATTGAGCTCAGCTGTCCTGTTTAGTGGGAGAGTCAGACTGTTTCTCATGGTTCTTTTCACCCCAGTATCGTGTCTCATCTACATCTGTAACCTGTGTCTCGCACACAGCAGGCACTTAATAAATGTTTACTAAATGACTGCCTCTCTTTTGCTGCAGAAGTTGACCAAGAAGAAAGAAATAAATGTGTACACTGTAGGGGCTCAGCAGATTATACAGGCGGGGTAGTGTGGGCTCGCATCAGGATAAGCCTCTCTCCACCCGTCCCAGGGAGGAGGTGGGAGGGAGGGCCCTTGGGAAACTTGGCTTCCAGCAGCAGAGGCTTGGGAATCAGAACACTTGCTCCAAGTCGCCACTAGGGGGAAGCAGACACTGTAAAACGGAGTGGGAGTGCTTAAGCCAGTGTCTGGTTCTAAGTCAGATATGGTCTACACTGTATAGCACTACATCGTGCTGGATGCAGGGATGCGACTCAGTCCCTGGCTGCAAGAATCCCCCAGACCAGTGAAAGGGATAGTCACATCTGCAGAGTCATTTGTAACACGAACAAATGCAACGATGGACACATTATAATGATAATATTAAGTGTAATGACAATGGTTAACTTTTCAGGGGCATCTTTTTTCTTTTTTAGGTTCTTTTTTTGTCTGTTTTTATTTGTTTATTTGTTTACTTCTGTTTTTCTTTTTGCAGGGGCATCGTCTACCTGCCAGGCCCCAGTTGAGTGCTTGCCATGCCTGATCCCCACACAACCTTAAGCAGGGAGTACTAATACTGTCCCTATTTTAAAGATGAGGAAACGGAGGCACAGAGAGGTTAAGTAACTTGTTCAAGGTCACACAGTTAATAAATAGCAAAGCCAATTACCTGTATTGCACCAAGAAATGAAGGTAATTGTGGGGAATCCAAGGAGGGGCAGTAGCCAATCCATCTGGATGGGGATGGAGGGCTTCCTGGAGGAGAAGACTTCTGAGTTGAGTTGTAAAAGTAAGAGCAAGAGTTGGCCAGGTGAATGGTGTCTGGGGTGAGGATGGCATTAGGGGCACAAAGAACAGGATGAGAATGGGCATGACTATAAACAGTTCATATGAGAGGCAGGGTGGGGTCCGGAAGAGTCTGAAGACTGTAACAGGGCCTACAGGCCTTGCTGAGAAGCTGGGACTTTATCCTGAAAGCAATGGGGAGCCATGGAAGAATTTTAAGCAGTGACATATGACCATGTGTGTCCTCTAGAAAGATCCCTCTGGCCTCTGGGTGGAGAATGGGGTGGAAGGGGCCTAGAATATCTTTGGCAAGACCAGTGAAGAGGCTACTGAGTGGTCTCAGCAGGATGGTCTGTAACCAGGCTGGTGGCAGCTGGGGTGTGGAATGGACAAATGTGAAAAAAACTCTTAGAAGGTAAGTGACCTCTGGATAGGGTGACTGATTGGCTGTTGGGGGTGAGGGGTCAAGGATAGTCCTTAACCTCATCCTGGGTTTCTAGCACCATCTGTGGCAGGTTCCTAGGCCCCGAGTGAGTGGGTTTGGGGAGGCAGTGAGGGGTAGGGAGTTCTGTCTCAGACATGTTAAATTTGAGATGCCAATAGGGGACGCTGGTGGACATGACCAGCCAGCCATTTGGCTTGTGGCTCCAGAACTCTCCAGAGGGGTCTGGCCTGGAGAGGGAGTGATTTGGGAGTTGTTGATTGTTGAAACTTCCAGGAGTGGATTAACTTATCTAGGAAAAGTAAGAAAGTCAGAGGACTTTCTGGGGTGGAGCTTGGGGGTACCCCATGTTTGAGGGGCTGATGGAGAAAGTGCACTGTGACGGGCTAAACAGTGGTCCCCCAAAGATACCCATGTCCCAATCCCTGGGCCCTGTGAATATGTTACTTCACATGGCAAAAAGAACTCTGCAGATGGGATGAGAGTTAAGGATTTTGAGATGAGGAGATTATACTGGATTATATGGGTGGGTCGCACATAATCACACAGGTACTTATAAGAGAAAGGCAGAGAGATCAGAGAGAGAGATGCTTTGATAGTAAGATGAAGAAATGGGACATGAGGCAAAGAATACAGGGGCCTCTAGAAGCTGAAAAAGTCAAGGAGACGGATTTTCCCTGAGAGCCTCCAGAGAGAACGCGGCCCTGCCAACACCTGGACCAGAGTAGCCCGGGGGGCTGGCACTGGACTTCTGACTTTCCAGGTAATAAATGTGCTGTTTTTAGCCACTGAGTGTGTGAGTGTGGCACCCACCGGGAAAGTGTAGGTGGCACGCTGGAGAGGTGGGAGGAAGCCAGGAGGACAACGTCTCCCTGGGAACTGGACAGCGGAGGTGCCAGGAGGCAGGTGAGACCGACAGTCCGGGGTGAGGCTCAGGCCTCTGTGCTGGACAAGCTCCTGCATGATTACTGATCACTGTGCCTTCCGAGTGGAGGACACCTGGACCGCCCAAACCAGTCCTGCCAACAGAGCTCCACGGTGAGGGCGTGCTGCCTGATACGGCCGCCACTCAGCACCTGTGCAGTGTGGCTATGAGGCTGAAGAACTGAGGTTTTCATTTCGCTTAATTTTAGTCAATTTAAATGGATACAGCCACACGCGGCTAGCGGAGCCCATACCGGATAGCATGGATCTAGCGCTTTCCGACTTGGCTGCAGGTTGTGAAAAAGTCAAAGAGGTTGGGATCTGCTTGGAATCCCCTCTGGGGAGGATGAGGTCTCATCTCCTGCTCAGAGCAGTCCCCGCAGGCCTCAGGCCTCGCCTGGCACGGACACACTCACCCCCCTTCTGTGACTCGATCTCCTTCTTGGCCTGCTCCAGGATGCTCTTGATGGCGTCGTCCGAGCCGGTCTCTGGTGTGCGGATTCTCGGAGTGATACTGCCTGGGGGAGGCAAGGAGGCATCTGTTGTAGGGATCTGCATGTTGGGGGTCATTCCCTGGAGCTAGGTGGGGTGACAGGCTGGTCCCTTCCTCCCAGTGCCAGAAGACTGAGAGCCAGACTCTGTGTGTGTGTGTGTGTGTGTGTGTGTGTGTGTGTGTGGCAGGACCACCACTGACCTAATCTTTGTGCCAAACTGTGGACCTACAAGTGATTCTGGCTGGAAGAAAGAAATAATAATGATAATGATAATGATAATAATGATAATAATAATAATAATTTAAAAAAATCAATGATGGCAGCCACCATAAAGGGTAATGATTCTCCAGGAGTTACTGTATGTTTATACTCATTTAACCCCATCAAGAGGCTGACAGATGGGGAAACTGAGGCTTGGAAATGCTCAGGGGGTACCTACCAAAGCTGCCCCTGGGGCCTAGCTTCCCACCATTATCAGTCTGAGTTGCCCATAAGGGACAGTTTCAGGGGAAAGGGCAGCCACAGGCCCCAGGGAGGAGGAATCAAGGATGTATTTGCTTATCCTACAGAAGGGGAAACCGAGGCACAGAGAGGCAAAGTTACTTTCCTGCAGTCACACAGCTGGGAGGTGGCAGACGAAGGCTCTGAACCCAGAGCTGTACTCTCAGCCCCAGCCAGCTCCACACCCTGGGCTGGGCCGGGGAGACCAGGCCTGAGCCCCTGTGCCTCGGACGGGCCCTCGGCCAGCACTCACCTCGCTGCCGCACCTGGATGGTCCTCAGAGCCAGCACGTTCTGCTCATCCGACAGGAACTGCTTCATCTTGATGAAGGGCTCCTTGCCCTTCACTGTGAGCTTGCGCCAGGGCTTGGGCCGGGCCAGGATCTCGCTGACTGAACCCTGGGACAGGCCCAGCACATAGTGGCCGAACACCCGCTGCCCGATGTTGTGTTTGAGCAGCTGCTCCTTCACCTGGAACGCGATCTCTGCTGTGTCCAGCTGCTCCTCCTCTGCTCCGGCCCCTGTCGTGGCCATGCCGCCCCCACCACCATCTGCTGGCTCGGGGCCTCCAGGCGGCTCAGGGCCAGGGGCTGGGGTGGCAGGGGCTGTGGGGGGCTTGGCGCTGTAGAAGGCCGGAGGGAACACCAGCAGGCCCCCCGCCTCCCCCTTGAAGGCGGCCGGGGGCATCATGTGCTTGGAGAGCAGCGCGTCCCCTGTCAGTCTCTCCCCCGAAGCCAGGCTGGGGAAGGGGGACAGCGAGAAAGTCCGAGGGCCATCGGGGCCCAGGCTGGGGCCCAGTAAGGGCTGCCCTGCGCTGGGGGACAGGGGGTCTTCAGGCCCTGGCAGTGGTGGGAGCTGTGGAGGGGATGGGTAGGACTGTTCTGTGCCCAGAGAGTCCTTGATGGAATCATCCTCCGAAGGGTCCTCCTCTAGAACGCCGAGACAGAGGAAGAGAGGAGAGACAGAAGGGCAGAGGAGCGGACAGTGATGGGGAGATGGAGACAGAAGAGAGGGACAGGGAGACAAATACCGAGAGAAACAGAGATAGGGAAACAAGCAGAGAGAAGTAACATGAGAGACAGAGACAGGAAAAGTGAACGTGACAGAGGGACCGAAAGACAGAGGGAGAGACAGAAGCACACACAGAGACAGAAGTTCGGAGGGAGAGGATGCGGGGGGAGGGAGGGGAAGTGCTCTAGGCGTCCGGCAGTGCCAGTGTCCACACTGCCCCTCCTCCCCCTTCTCGTCCCCTCCTCAAGCCTGGGCCGGACGCCAGTTCTGGGGAGACCCCTCCCACCATCAGGCACATTAACTGAGCACTTGTTATGAGCCCAGCACCTCGGCCCGGGGACTAGTCACCGTCCCAGAGCAGTGCAGCCCACTTCAGGGGCACCCGCCTGCACCCTGGCTATGCATTTGTATTTCCCATGTGTGCTCACTCCACCTGCACAGCACTCATTAGGCCCCATTACTGCCCCCATTTCACAGATGAGGAAATGGAGGCAGCACAGAAAGTCTTGGCCCGGGGCCACATGGCTAAGAGGTTGCAAGGCCACTGCGTGGGGAGAAGGAGCGATTCTGGGAGACAGTCACGTCTGCAGGCCATTCCCGGCAGTCTGCTGTGGGGGGTGTGGTGTGAACGCCCTCCTTGTCTCCCGTGAGCTGCTGCTCACGAAGGCCCAGGTGTGAGTGAGCCCCTTGGGGGACCCTGGGAGGGCCTGCGTGACCCGTGCGTCCCTCAGTGGGCATGTCCCTGTGGGACAGCTGCAGCTAACTTAGCCGTGGACGGCGCCCAGCTCAGCACCAGGCACTCAATCAACGTGCCCACCTCTTATCCATCAACCCCCCGCCCATGTGGAAGGCAGTGGTCTGTGGGCATGTGGGCATGGAGGCCAGAGACCCACAGGCAGCTCCCACCCTGGCCCCTCAGTCCCAAAAGCACCCCTCCTCCCCTACCAGGGCTGGCTAAAAGACCAGGCTTTTCCAGAAGAAATTTCTGCGCGGGGAAGAAGGCCTCCTTTGCCATGAGCAGTGAGTCTTCGGGCTTGGCTAGGCCCTGAGAAGACAAGAAGCCAGGCTGAGAGGGCAAGGTTGGTGCAAGGCTCTCAGGGCCAGCCTGCCCCGTGGGGAGGCTGGTGGGGACACTCACCTGGGGTAGGCTGCAGGTGCTGGAGGCCAGCTTCATGGCTTTCAGGATGCTGCCAGAGAAAGAGAAGAGAGTGTGAGGCCAGCCGGTTCCCGGGACTGGGGGAGAGGTCTTGCAAGAAGCACTGCCACCGGCTCATCTTCCCTGGCTGAGAACAACTGCCCCAACCCCCTGGACCCCACATAACGTGGGACTTACTGCAACAGGCCTCAAGGAGCAGGCTGGTGTCACCTGGAGGGGTGGTGTGTTAACTGACTTCCACCCTGGCTGGCTTGAGCTAATCGGATTAAAGCCACCCCCTCCCCTCTGCTGCCAGTTACAGCACCAACAAGGCTATGTTCTCCATAGGCAGCGCTTGATGACAAAAGGATCGGGCATGATACCCAAGATGCCAGTGGAGAGGAGACAAGGGGACCACAAAGTTGGGACTGGTGGGAAGGGGAAGACGATGAACTTGGCCAAGGGCCCCTCGCTATCTTCCCAGTAAGCCCCCAGCCAGGGAAGAGGGCCGGGGGGGGGTCTGTAGAGCCCCACTCACACGGTACCTCAGCTCTGTTTTAATTTCCTCATAGTCAGACTGTGCCTGGAGCTTCTCTTCCAGCTTCTAGAAGAACAAAGATGTTGAGGCTGGTCCACGTCCTTCTGCCTGGGGATGCCCCGCCCGTCTCCTGTCTGCCCGCTTCTGCCCCCAAGACCTACTTCGATGGCCTCGGACTTGGCTGTGAGCTGCCGCTCCAGGTCTGCAATCTGGTTGGCCGAGGTCTCCTCCAGCTCCTGCAGAGAGTTCTGGAGGTGCTGCACGTCCTTCAGCAGCCGCAGGATCTCCCGATCCTTGGAGGCCAGGGCAGCCTCCAGCCGCGGGCCTGAACACAGCGCGAAGTTCACCTTATCCTAAGGACAAAGAGGGGCTTGGAGGGGCCGAGAGGTGTGGGCAGGGGGCTGCAGGGCAGCTGTGTTCCTTGGAGTGACCCTGCCCCTCTGACAGGCCCGTGGCTTCCCCCTTCCCACCTCTGAGGCTTTGCTCAGGCTGGGCCCACCTGCCTGCATGTCTTTTCCTCAGTTCTTGAAATCAGGAGGATGGAGAGGTCAGGGAAGGCTTTTTAGAGGAAGGTATGTCTAAATCGTGATGAAGTTCAAAAACAAGTTAGTGATTTGGAAACTTGTTTGGTAGCATCTACGAAAGGTGAACATTCGATGCTCTAAATCCTGGTACTTTCAGTGGTTGGATATAGACAGGAGAAATGCGGGCAGCTGTGTATTGAGACACAGGACACGAATGCTCACAGCAGCCCTCTCTGTAATAGTCCCAAACCGGAAACCTCTCAAATGCTTACGAACTGGACAACAGATTGACTGATTGTGAAATATTCACACGATGGAATACTAAACAGCAGGGAAAACGAACAGCTACAGCTACTCATAACACAGCTTGGACAACTCTCCTAGATATAACATGGAGGGAAAGAAGCCAGACACCAAAGTGTGTGTGCGATTCTATTAAGATCAGACATCAAAACAGGCAAGACCCATCTGTGCCGTTAGGAGTCAGGAGAGTGGCTCCCTCAGGGGAGTGGCACCTGGAAGGGGGCACAAGGGAGGCTTCCGATGTGCCAGAATGTTCCTCCTGTTGATCTGGAAGTTGGTTATGGGGTGTGCTCACTTTGAAAAATTCATTGAGCTGTACACTTACGAAACACACATTTTCCCTTATCAATACTCTAATTCAATAAAACATTTGTTAAAAAGGAACAAAAAAAGGAAGTCATTAGTTGGGTGAGGAAGTGGTGGTGATAGGGTGTTCCTGGCCAAGACAAGAGGACAGACAAAGGTTTGAGTTTCCACGTCAGGCCCAGGTCCCACCCCAGGGGGATGTTCCCATCCCAGGCAGCAAGAGACCCACAGGATGGGACATGAGACCTTGCAGCCACGAGCCACATTTAAGGTGGTTCCTTCCTCCTCCTCCTTTGCCGCCAACCCCTAATCCCACAGCGTCTCCAGGTTTTAGGAAATGGCCCCTGTGTCCTGGATGAAGATAAAGAGGTTGCTGTTTGAGGGGACCTGAAGTTGGCTGCCCCTGGGCTCAGTTACAAATGAATCCAAGAAGCCTTTATAAAGAAAAACCAACCGACCACTGTGAACCCTGGCTATTCTTCCATGGAGATAAATGCCAATTAAAACAGGAAGCGGATGCCATTAACACATTAAATTAATTAGCATCGAGCGCCACTGTTGTCCTTAGAAAAGCTCACCCCCCCAAACCAGCAAAGTTCCCCGTGGCTGATTAACACAGGCATCTGCTGGGTTCCACCGGGGTTAATTAAGAACCACTGGCAAGTTCTCTCTGAGGCGTCCTCATGAGCTCTCTGGCTCTCAGTCTCTCTCGTGTTCACTGTCTCTGTGTCGTGCAGACATCAGGCACATTGATACATACACGCTGCCTCCTGGGACACGGGCACAGGTGGACACAGCACAGACTGACACACGTTACCTGTGGGGACACTCACACACAGAAGTGCACAGGCATCAAGGAAACACTCACATGGACTCGTCTCCACGACACACAGAGACATGTATGTGCTCAAAGAGTCCACGTGCTCACGTGGGCAAAAACGCCCCTACACACTCGAAACACACTAGTAATAACAGTAGCATCAAATATTTACTTAGCACAGACTGTAAGCCGAGCACCATTTTAGGTATTTTACATGTAATCCTTTCAGTAACTCCATAAGGTAAGTCTTATTTGCACAAGCCAGGAAAGCAAGGAGTTATTTGCCCAAAGGTCACAAACAGACACACACATACACACTAACATGTGTTCAGAGAGACACATTCCAATACTTAAATAGAAAGGCAGATACAGACTCGTGGGTCTGTGTACTAGCGTTTCCGGTGAAGTGAAAATTATGCTGGCCGCTCCAGGTCTGTGGGCCAAGACTGCAAATCACCCTAGAGCTGACCTGTTACCATGTAAGCAATCATGAATCGAATCCCCAGGTATACAGAGATCTGGAAAGAGGTGGACAATTTACATAAGGAAGCCAAGGCTTTCTGGGAGAGGAGCAAAGGAGACTCCTACATGACGGAAGGACAGGCTGGGAGGTTCTCATTAAAATCCCCTGACTCCAGGACTCCAAAAGGGCACTGACCCAGAGGAAAGAGAAGGACGCACTGACTAATCAGGCCTAGCACAGACACCCCTGGTTTGACCAAAGACCAGCTCTCTGTAGCACAGGGCTGGCTGCGAAACCCTGCTAGAGTCACCGTGGCATGTTTTAGGAACCAATGGCTGATCTGAGTGTCAATCTGAGATCTTGGGATGTGGCCCCACTGTGGTCTGGTAGGGACTGAGAACCAGGGGGGCACCCCTGTAGCAGTCCCACACACCCACCAAGCAGCGCAAGACCAGTGGTCAACAGCAACACCCGGTGGCAGCTACCAAAACTGCACTGCTGCTCTACGGATCAAACTCACCCTCCCACCCGCTCGTGCTGGGCATCTGGCAATAGGAATGATCCTCTTTGGCCTGAGTAAGTTCCTGGCATTCCTGAACAAGGAATGGTAAGGGGCGGGGTGGGCTCCAAAAGAAGATACTGGCCTTCCTGTTAATCAAGGTATATGGAAACTTGAACTTGAAAAGTGAAAAAGGGCTGTGGCTGTATTTTGACCTTCAGCTGGTGAAGCAAGTCATGGGAATTATATTTAACTATACACATTGATCTTGGCAATTAAGATGCTTTGTCCACTGTATGCACAAAGAGACCCACACCTGTTCATGTGCAAAATTTCACATAGTGCAAATGATCCGCCCACAAGACGTCTCCCACATATTCATACCCACAAACACGGCCTTTCCCAAGCTTTCCCTTGGATCCCCCACCATCCTTACTCCGCTGGGTCCCTGTGGGGAGCAGCAGGCCAGGCGGATGGAGCTGTTGACGGAGGCGAGTTGTTCCCGAAGACTTTCCACCTCCCGCTGGGCAGCCTCGGCTCTCTGAGGGGGAGAATCCGGGGAGCACGGTTAAGAGGTGAGAGGGGCCACCCCGGATCCTCCACTGCCTCCCTGAACCGTGTCAGGCAGTGGCTGTGGAGGCAGGTCTCTGAGGGCCTGGGCTCCTATTTCCTGGGTTCTGGATGCTTGAGTTGGCTATGGGTTCCCCTGCAGTGCCTGGGACTCCAAGAAGAGCCAGAACATTCCCCTTCTACCAGGGCAGGAAGGGAGATGTTGTCTTGGTGGGACTGGCAAGTTTTCACACGTCCCCAGGCCACTTCTGTCTGCCAAGTAAACTTCAGGCCTGGCTAGTCAGCAGGAAAGAGTTTGTCCCCAGCTCCCATGCCACGTGGTGTGGAGTGAGTCCTCGAGGAGGCATCCACAGAGGTGGCTTCCCAGCCCACAGCTGTTGCAGGCCCCTGGGAAGGTCACTTACACTCCCTGAGTCTCAGTTTTCCTTCTGTGAAATGGGGGCAATGAAATACATCTATTGTAGAGGGAGGGGTGTTGAAATACGTCTAAAGTCAGAACGCCACAGTCTATTGAATTCAATCTTAACGCTTCAATTTTAAAGAAAAAAGCCTAGAAGGAAGCATCCAAATGTCAGCAATGGAGTCTTGTGGCTTTGGAGAGAAATCTGTACTTTGTTCCAGGCCATGTGACTTTGGTCAAGGAACTTCAACTCCCCCACCTCCATTTTCTCATCTGTAAAACGGGGATTACAAAAGCAACTGTCTCATAGGGTTGTTCTGCAAGTAAGTGATTTGGTAAAATATAGCTCATTAGGTATCTCAGTTTGATGCCTGACACATACAAATGTGTCAATAACTGGTTTACTTCATTAACATCTACAGGGTATATGGGCTCTTGAACCATTACCTGGAAAATTTAAAGAGCTGTGGCTGTATTTTGACCCCCAGCTGGTAATGCAGGTCATAGTGATTAAGTTTAATTTACTCACTGACCTTGGCAATCAAGACGCATGTTATACACACACAGAGATCCACACACATCCGTGCACATATTTCACTGATTTATTTTCAAATTGTTTTGTTTGTTTATTTATTGGTAGCTGACCTTGTCCAGACATGGTTCAAATTAGGAGTCAGTTTTGTTTTGGGTGTGTGGGGTGCAGAGGAAATATTTTTGTATTTCTGCACAGTTGGGGCTTTCTGAGCAAATCTGATTGAGACTTGGGATCCGGGCTAAAAGACAAACCTGGGAAGTTGAAACATGACTAACTAGCTAGCAAGAACTCCAAAGAGACTCACTTCCTGGGAGGTAGGTGTTGACATTTCAAGGGGTGGATGAGACCCTGACCAGGGGGACATCCCCTGAGCTGTAATGCTGGGTTTAAAGCTACTAGTCTTAGTCTTCCCGTGGAGAGAAGTAGTTACATTCCAAATGCTAAAAACCCAGGATCCTGCCCTTCTATTCATCATGATACTTGGGAGACAGATTTCTCTCCCTTTCTCAGAAGGTCCCTCTCCTATGTAACCACCTAGATTCCAATCTGGGGAGGTTCCTGGTCTACAGTACAAACTCCAGTGAGTGCAGGATGACATCTGGCTCCCATCTCGTCACCCTAGGGGAAGAACTGGGGAAGACTGGCATGGTTTTTACTATACAAGTAATAATGCTCTACTCTGCTCCAGAATCCTCTTGTTCACATTTAGGATAGTATTAATAAAGACAGATATTAAAGACCTAACATGATGACATTTATTTTTTTCCCCAGTACTCTATAATGAGCAGGTTTTAGTTTTATACTCAGAAAAAATAAACATTATTAAAAATGCTTCCTATTCAAACCAAGATTTCTTTTCTTAAGCCTGTTTGATTGACAAAGATCCAAAAGTTTGATGGAACTGGCAAGGTGATTGGGAAACTGGCCCTCATACCTCGCTGGAGGGAGCGTAAATTGGCACAACCCCGCAGAAGGGTTTGGCCTCATCTGCCAAATTAGAAACACACAGCTCTTTCACCCAACAGTTCCACTTCTAGGAATCTGCCCTATCTAGTGGCTTGGGTGTATATGAAATGATATCTGGACCAGGTTATTCACTGCAGTGTCGGGGATGATGGTAAAATATTGGAAAAATCATCAAAGTTTATCAACAGGGTTTGGGTTAGACTGGAGACTGGCAAATGGCAGTCTGCTGCTGGTTTTTGTAAATTAACGCTTTACTGGAGCACAGCCATGCTCATGCGTTTCCAGATGGTCTGTGCTTTCACTCCACCACGGCAAAGGTGGATGGTTGTGAGAGTGACTTGTGAGGCCGAAAATACTGACTCTCTGATCCTTCACAGAAAGTGCGCTGCGCCCTGGGTTAGAAGATCCAGCGCAATACTACACAGCTGTAAAATGGAAGGAGCTGCTTTATATGCAGATACGGAATGAGCGTCAAGATATGCACACAGGAAAATTAAGGTTCAGGAGGGTGTATGTAGTAACTATCATTTTTATTTTAAAAAGGGGTAAAAATAGATTCACAAAGGGACTTGTGAATGGATCTCTGGGAGGAGACCCCAGAAACTGTGAGAGAGGTTGCCAGGGGGAGGGCAACTGGGGGCCACGTTCAGGGAGGGGAGGCTGCTTCCTGGCTATGCCCTCACGTACCCTTGAGTTTTGAACTACGTAAAGGGATTACCTATTAAAAAATTGATCTAAAAATGTTCTTCTTTTTCAAGTTCCCTCTGCAGGAGGGAGTACTTTTGCCTCCAGGCCTTTGCCATCGCTGTGTCTTTTGCCTGGAATGCCCTTCCTCGGGAGATCAGTGCCTGGACTTCAGATCCCAGCTGCAAAGCATCTCCTCCTGGAGGCCTCCCTCAACTATCCCCTGGAAATGACCACTCGCCCTGGCTCACTGCTCGCCCCTCCGGGCCCTGCCCCTAGCTGCTGGTGTCCAGGGTTCCAGGGAGAGAGATGAAGTGGGCCCACAGGACTCCAGATTGGACCCTCGTGGCCACGCCTTTCCTCCTTTCAAAGTCCTGCCCAACTCTGCCCCCCAATGGTAACACACTTCCTCTGACACCAGAGGAAGGCAGGATGGGGGAACCCCATTTCTAAAAGTGAAAACTGAGATTCAGAGAAACTGAAGGACTTGCAAGGACCTGGGCAGAGACTAGAAGATGCGGGTCCCAGGGAAGACTGGGGTCCACCCAGCGCTCGGCTGGCAACCTTCGGAGGAGGCTAGGGTTGGGATCCCAGGTAAAGCAGGAGGGAGAGAAGCAGCCCCCCCACTGCTGGAACAGGGCTCCTCACTCGGTCTGGCTGGGAGAGATCCATGTCCCAGCATGGCCTGCAGACGGGCCCAGGATCCCTGGTCACAGCGCTGCCTCCCTCGCCTGCTGTCCCATCCCCCCCCAGGCATCAGGCCTCAGAGCCACAGCCCTTCCCCGGAGACGTCTTCCCTCACCCCTTCCCCACCAGCTGCTGTTTCTGAGGGTTCTGCCTGTACCCCTGCCCCACTTCCTCTGCAAACTCAGGGAGTGGGTCCCAGACATCTCCCGGCTCCAGTGCTAAGCATGGCGTGTAGCTCAGCCCCCGCCTCCCAGCCTGGCCAGAGGCCCCCTGCCCCGAGCAGAATGAGCCCCTGACACACATCTCCTCACCTGATTAGCTTTCTCCAGGTTGGTCATGATCAGGCCAACTTCATCTGCCCTGAGACAGAAAGACAAGGCCCTGAGGAAGGGATTCTGGCAGCTGCTGGGGCCCCCACCCCTCCTGGTATCTCCCAGCTCCTGCCAACCCAAAGATCTCTCACTGGAGGCCCGAGGAGGCCGCCTTCCACCCTTCCTACTGGAGACAAACCAGGCTGGGGGAAAAGAACCAGGTTGTGGGGAAAGGAAAGTGGGGCCTCGACACTGCACCCCTTCTAGGCAGCCCCGCCTCCCATCTGCCCCCGGCATCCACTCTCCGAAGACACCCCCCAGCTTTTGCCTCTTCTGCGCCTTCTGCCCGCAAGCCTTCCTCAAGAGAACAGAGCCTGGGCTCTGAAACCCAGCTGCCACGTGTCCTCCTAGGAGGTCCCCCTTTACTTGCTGTGTGCCTCCCCCACCCCTTGAACTGCCAGCACCTGGAGGGTCAGGACAGGCCTCATCCACCTCAGATGCTTCTCTGCCTAGCATGGGGTGGGCGCCACAGGGGGCCTGCGGGGAGCGTTTGGTGATTAAAAGCCACTCATGTACTTCAGGCACGTCCAGGTTCAAGGCCTTTGCACAAGCTGTTCCCACTGCCCAGAGCACCTCTCCCAGCGTTCTTCATGTGGCCAACTCCTTCTCACCTCTGAGATCTCACTCTGAAGGTCGTCTCCTCAGGGAAGTCCTCTGGGACTACCCTGGATAATAGGAACCCCCCCCAACCCTGTTATTCTCTCTTGCTGCTCCCGGTTTTCCCTTCCTAGCATTTACCATGTGCCCGCAATAGTGCCAGGCATACGGTAAATGCTCAATAGTGTCTGTGAATGAAAGAATTAATTCCTGTAATTCAGTGTCTGTCTGTCTCTCCTTGACTGAGGACAGGGTGTTTCCTGTTATTTCCTCCAGGGACCCAGCATAGCACTGGGTAAACAACAGGTGCTAAATAAGTGTTTGTGGCTTAAGTAATGCCTTAAAACCTGAAGAAACATTGGGTCCATAGTAATTTAAGTGAACGACACTTGGGCCTGAGGGTTGGGCTGTGAAGCTGGGGAGTGGGGACAGCCCTAGGCGGCTGAGGTGGTGGGGAGCCCCTGCCCAGCAGTCGGCCCAGCCAGCAACCCAGGATGCTCTTTACAGTCTGGGCTGCTCGAATGGCACCACAAATGACTGGTGAACGGCTGTGTGCCTATGGGGGCGTGGAGCAGAGGGTGCATCTTTAAATGGGTGCCTCAGGCAGAGTTCAAGGGAGAGGCGTCAGAAGGAGAAGGCGGGTCTGGGAGGGTCAGAGGGAGGAGGCCTGTCTCAGCAGGGCGTTCACTTACTTGGATGCCGCCTCCTCATCGTATTTCCGCCGCAGCTCCAGCAGCTCTGTCTGCGTGGCCTTTAACGCTGGGAAAAATGAAAGCACGAGGGTGAGGTCCCCCCACCCCCAGGGAGGATGGGACACACTCCTCTTCCATGGGGCCCGGAAGGCAGAATGAGGCTTGGGGTAGTGAGGAAAGATTTTTCTCTTGGAACTGGTGACGGTGGGGTTTCCTGCCCCTAGAGGGGCTTCGAGCTGCTGGGAGGGCTGTAGAGTGACCACGGTGGGAGGGCAGATGATGTGATCCTCTATGAGTCTATGAAGCTCAGGGGACCCAGGAAAGTGGAGGAAGGGGTCTGTCCCAGAACCTGGGGGATGAGCCCCCTAACACCCTTAGGCCACTCCAGGACCGGGGTGGGGCCATCCGTCCACGAGCTCATCCACTCTGAGGTCCAGACCTAGAAGTTAGGGGGGACGGGGGGAGTAACGAAGTCAACAGATACGTGTATATTATAATAAATGAAGGATTTCCCACAAAATTCCAGATTTCTGATTGCTCTTGGAAGATGGAAGGGACTGGCCACGCTGGGCCCTAGGGCAGTGCCTGGCTGGCACTCAGCAGCCGCCACTTCTTTACATGAGGCCTGGCTTTTCCAATTTGACCCAGACCCCACCCTTCCCTACTGTCTCCCCTAATCTGGCCAGCTAGGATGCTTGCCAGGCACTTGCATTTGTCATCCTTGATTTAATTTTATCTCAAATCCTCTCTCCACAGTAGCATGACCTCCGGGGACTGGAGCTCAGATCCGCGCTGGGCAATGCAGATCTTTCCTCTCCCTTCCCAAACACCTTTCTTGCACTCCTGATTCTAGAACACCTGAGCTGGTGTTTGTAGTGTCACGGCCCCCTCCCACTCCCACTGGGCCTCCTGGTGGGGCCGGGGCACCGTGTGAGGGCAGGGGACGTGTGCCAGACATACCTGAATGTAGCACCTTGATCTTCTCCTCGGCCTCCCCCAGTCTGGCTGCCAAAGTGATCTGTACTTCTTGAAGGCCCCTGCAGAGAGAGCTGGTGTGCGGACCGGCCCACCCTGGCTTCCCGTCCCCTCGCGCACTCCCTGTAATCTGCACCTCTGTCTTTCGGATGAATCTTTAAACGTGACATTCGGGAACTTGGCTGCCCTGCTGAATGTCTGACTGTGTGGCTTCCATTATGGCTAGTGTCCAGTTAAGTTGCTGCAGCAGCCAGCGACCCGGCCTCTCAGGGCCTCAATTTCCTTGTTTATAAAGTGGGGTTTCTGGTGGGGTCTGCCTGGGTGAGTGCTGTGGAGCACATTCAGCACGGTGCCTGGCACCCAGTGTTCCCTCAATAGCATTAGTTACTCTTATTGTCCCTGCAGGAGGCATTTTTTCCCCCTTTCTGTGGCAGGGGTTTGGGAAGCCCCACCAGCCCACTGGGGCAAGCATCTCAGTGGAGAAAGAGGGTCCCTACCTGTGCTGGGGGAGGGTTTACACAAAGCTTGGGCCTCACCTTGTCTGGTTCAGTGACTCGAGGTAAGGAGCCCTGTTTCCCCTGATCTCATCCTGCCCCCTCGCCCTCGCTCACTCCACTCCAGCCTCCTTGCTGTGCAAACACATCAGGCATGTTCCTACCTCAGGGCCTTCGCACTGACCGTTCTCCGTCCTCCCATATACCCGCCTCACCTCCTAAGGGCTGTGCTTACCCTCTCAGTGAGGCCTCCCCCAACATTCCATTGAAAACCTCAGCCCCCAGCTATCCTCATCCTCCTCTGCCTTGTCTTCACAACCCTTAGCATCTAGCATACTGCTTATTTATCTTGTTTATTTGTGTCTTTCTCACTGGAAGGTAAACTCCAGGAGGGCAGAGAGTTTTATCCATTTTTTTCACTGCTGTTTCCTAGAACAGTGACTTGCACACAGTAGGTGGCTCCATAAATATGTGGAATGAAGGGAAAAGGGAATGGAAGAAAGGATAAATGTAACAGCCATCATAAAACCATCCTAGAAATGCCCTAAGAACCCATATTTTATCACCACTGCACCAACTGTAAAGGCACACATGTGCTGATCCGCGTGTCTCTGAGTGCTGAGCTGGGCACATACAGGCGTCACTTTGCTTCATTCTCATGGCAGACTCAGAGCAGACACTGCCTGTGACAGGCGTGTGTGCCCCCTGGCTGGGCTGTAGTGCCCAGTCACTCAGTCACACACTAAGCTAAGTGTTGCTGCAAAAGTATTCTGTAGATGAGGTTAACATCTACAATGGGTTGATGCTAAGGAGAATATTCATAGTAACACGGCTGAGCCTCACTTAATCAGCTGAACGTCTTAAGAACAAAACTGAGGAAGAAGAAATTCTGCCTCTGCACTGACTCCCGCCCGACAGTTTCTGCTGGCCGGCTCTACCCATTCAGACTTGCCAGCCTCAATCGTGTGAGCTAAGTCCTTGGAATACACCTCTTAGTTAATTAAAAAAAAATCCTGGTTCTGTTTCTCTTGAGAGCCCTGACTAATACACTGCCATGAGCCCATTTTCCAGATGGGGAAACTGAGGCTCAGAGGGGCGATGCGACCTGCCCAGGGTTGGCCCCTGCACTGCTGAGATGTGGCTTGAACCCAAGCCTGTGTCTCCATCTCCAACCAGCATTTGGATGCTCCCCAGGTCCTTGGCTGGGGGCGACTATCCAGGTCCCACCTCCCAGCCAGGTCGGGCAGCAGAAGCCTGCCCGTCTTACCCCCACTCACTTTTGTTTCTCCGCCTCATTTCTCTGCAGCAAAGTTTCAGTCAGGAGAGCTTTGCTGGGAATGCCTGGGAGGCGGCTCCCCTCGGTCAGCGTGGGCCCGGCCGGTGATGTCCCCTCTCTCTGCTCTGGAGGAAGAAAAAAATGGAAAACTGCCCATCCCTGAGAATGGCGTGACAGCCAGCGCCGCTTTCTGCAAACTGGATCGATCAACAGTGCTGGGAGAAGAATCAATTTCCCAAACTCAGTGTTGGAGGGAGCGCAGCTGCCGGGACCCGCTGTCACCGCCATCAGCTGGGCTGTAGCCCTGGCGAGCGTGTGCGCCAGAAAGTCAAGCTCCCATCCTGCTGGCCCCAGACAGCACAGCCAGAGGCTTCCTTTGCCTTCTCAGACCTGCTCCAGCCTCCTTGGCTCTCTTTATTATTCTTTTTAAAAAATACGGTAAAATATATACAACATAAAATTCACCATTTTAACCATTTAAAGTGCACAATTCCGTGATGTTTACTATATTTACAATATCGTGCAACAATACCAGTAATTCCAGAACACCATCATCACCCCAAAAGGAAACCCGTCCCCACTAAGCAGTGACTCCTCACTCCCTTCCCCAGCCCCTGGCAACCACTGTTCTGCTTTCTGTCTCTATTGATTTGTGTATTTTGGATATTTCCTATCACTGGAATCATAACATATGTCCTCTTGTGACTTGATCCTTTCCCTAGGCATGTTTTCAAGGCTCATCCAGGTTGGACACGTGTCAGTCTGTCATTCCCTTTTTATGGCCAAGTAATATTTCTTTCTATGGATATATCACACTTTGCTTTTTCCATTCATCCACTGATGGACATTTGGATTATTCCCACTATTTGGGGGAGTGTGAGAGATTAGATATTGCCTGAGAAGCAACTTCGTGTCACAATTTCATTTGACAAGACTCAGCCCATTTTATCTTCCATATGGGCCAAATCTGGGCCCACTACATGTTTTGTCAATAAAGTTTTATTGGAACAAAGCCTTGCCCACTCATGTACACACTATCCATAGCTGCTTTCACACAGAGTTAAGTAGTTGTGATGGCAACTGCATGGACTCCACCACCTGAGATATTTACCTTCTGGTCCTTTTCAGAAAAAGCTTACTGACCTCTGAGGTAAATCCTGCTCAATCGTTTCTTAGACCAGCATCCCTTCACCTGACCCTCCCTTAATTCTCTGCTTGAATTTTTTCCCCAAAGGCTTTCTCACCAACTTTATTAATTTATTGGTTGACAATCGGTCTCTCTCTCTAGAAGGGCAGAGATTTTTGTCTGTTTTGCTCCTGGCTGTGTCCCTGGTGCCCCTCACAGTGTCTGGAACACAGGTCAATGAAAACGCAAGACCTGGATGGTTACCCATGCCTTTCACCTGCTATTTGCTCCTGCCCACAGTGGCCTCCTACCTCACCTTCCATAGGTAACTACCATGCTCAGTTTTGTTCATATTCTCTCACTTTGAAACATTTTTATCACATTTTATCATATGTAAACCTAAACACTGTATTTTTAGCTCTGCTAGTTTCTTGACTTGTCTTGTCTGGGGCTGAAACAGTGCTGTGTTCACTACATCCTGTTTCCCTCTCCTGAGCACACAGCCAGACTATACTTCCCAGCCTTCTTTGCAGTGGGATGTGGGCACATGACAGAGTTTTGGCCAGTGGGATGTGGCCAGTGGGATGTGTGCCACGCCCAGGCCTGCACCCCATAAACCTTGGAGTGATCCTCCACATTCTTTCCTCGCCTGTTGGCCAGCTGTCAACATTCACTGTGACTCTGGAAGTCGAGCATTGGCAGCGGCAGGACCGCCACAGCTTGGGTCCCTAAATGGCTACGTGAAGCATTCCCTGCAACTTTTCCATCCTTCAAATATATTAAGTCTCTGAGATTTGGGGTTGGTCTGTTTCAGCAGAAGTGTACCTTAACCCATTTTACATCTAAAATGATAAAACTGAGTTCCCTGCCCATTTGTTTATTGTGGACGTTCCATGAAAGCCTCATCAGTACCTTTGGGGCCGAGGAGCTCAGGGTGTCTCTTCCACGAAGTGTGGAGGTCTCGCCGCGGCTGCCCGCTGGGGTCGAAGCTGGGGGACTGCAGTCTGTCGTCTGGGCTGCGTGTCGCCTCAAACACAGGCACAGGGTCTGCGCAGAGAGAGGAGGACGGGGTGGCGGGAGCCCCAGGGGCTGGGGCCACCCAGGCCTGAGGCCGCAGGGCCCGGGAGCTGGGGTGGGGGAATCCATCCATAGGCGCCGTCTGGAATCACTCTGGTGGCTGAGGGGAGCAACGTGGGCTTCCTGCCTTATGAGGGAGCGGATCTTCCCCGGGCGCTTAGAGAGCAGCCCCACGGGGAGAGGGGCCGTCCCCATGGGCATGGGTGTCCTGCTCAGCTGGGAATGATGATAACAACAGTAACTGTCACAATAACCGCGTTTTCCTGATTCTAGACGCCATACTGTGTCTTGCATACCTCCAACCAAACGAAGCGTCACTTGGCAAGGGCCCAGCAGGCACACCCTGAAATCCAACAGTCTGAGCTCAGACTTCCCGCGAGACTTCCCAGACAAGGCCTGCAGGCAGCGGGGACAGAGGCAGACCTGCTCCTGGGGGACACATGACTGCCCTGAGGGCCGAGGACTGGCCCCCGGCCTCACCCAGTGCTCCCTTCTTTAGGCTGTACATGGTCTGGATGCTTCCACCCAGTTTCCCACCTCTCCTAGCTGCCTCCCTATTTTCTTCCACCCGTGGTTCCCTAATGGCATCCTTGTACATATAATCCTTGGGGTGCTTCTCAGTGGATCTGGACCATTGCACCATCATTTGTGATGCTTGTGGTCGATTAAATGACGGTTTTTCTGGGGGCGGGATATATACCTGGATATAAGAGGTCCTGAATTTCCCAGCAGCTAAATTTGAGGACTGTAGGCCCTTCCACCTGGAATTCTGTCCTGCCTCCCACCCGTTCACCTCCTCTTCTTTTAGCTCTAGAATCCAACAACTCTTCTTCCAGGAAGCTCCCCCCAGCTCTCCATCTGGGGCAGGAGGCTGGTGCGGCATCTTTCAGGTTACAAAACTAGTCCTGGGAATGGGTTCCCACGATGTTCTCTGGAAGCTAACTTGGATCCAACTTGTTTTCACAGATCAGGACACTGAGGCTCAGAGAAATCAGGCGACTTGCTGAAGAGTGGAGAGACTCAAGAGAGTGGGTCTCTTTCTTTGATGCCATTAAGAGTTCCTGTCCCAGTGGTATGGAACTTTTAACTCCAGCAACTGCAGGAGGGTGTTCATGGGGCCCAGGAATGTGGAGGCCTCCTCATTCCAGACCAAGGGGCCTGGGTCTGGTCCACAGTTCTTTCTAATGCCTTGGAGCCCTCTCTCTTCCTGGTCTCTTGCCAGCATCCGTTCGGCCACAGCTCTCTGCCGGTGCGGAGGTGTGGACCCTGGAGTCAGATGTCCCTGGTCCTGGTCTAATCCATACTTGCTTCTCAGGATTGCTGTGTAACCTTGGCAAATGGCTCTACCTCTCTGTGGCTCACCACAATAGTATCAACCTTATGGGGCTGTGATGAAGATTCATGTAAAGTGCTCAACATGGTGCCTGGCACTTGGTCAGCTCAAAAAAATGGAAGTCCTTGCTATCCCTGCCTTTCTGAGCTCTAGACACACTGGTCTTTTCTCAGTCCCTCAAATGCATCTTCCCACCCTAGAGCCTTTGTCTGGACAGGAGCCTCTGCCAAGAACAGCCTGTCCTCCCCAATCCCTTTCAGCTAGTTAATGCTTACTTGCCTTTGCAATTCAAATCCCACTTCTTCCAGGAAGCCTTCCTTGACCAGTCAGTCCTCTGATATGAGCTCCTCCAGTTGTCTGCACCGTTACCTCACAGCACTCATTGTATTTCCAATTTTCATTGATTCGCATTATTAACTAACTATGTCTTTTTTTTAAGTTTTTTTTTGGGGGGGGAGGAGGAGAAGTAACTAGGTTTACTTATTTATTTATTTTTAGAGGAGGTACTGGGGATTGAACCCTGGACCTTGTGCATGCTAAGCATGCACTCTACCACTTGAGCTATCCCCCTCTGCTCCAAACACTCACTGGACTGCAAACTTCACAACAAAGCAGGGCTGGGACTGCATCTGTTTTTACTCCTCCACTGGACCCCTTGTGGGTGATTGAAGCCTGACCCACAGTCCAACCCAATAAATATCTGCTGATAGAAGAAACGGGGTAGTGTCTCTACTTGGGGGCCTTCAGGTCTGGCTGGAACAAGGCCACCTCTGGTTTTATCCCTGTCCTCCGGCCTGTTTGTTTGGGTGGTGGAAGGCTTGGACAATGGGCGTTTGTGCGAGGTAAGCAGGTGCACTGGGACGCCGCTGCCGTCTTCCCTCTGTCAGCGCTCCCCCCGCGCCCCGTCATTAGGCAGGGCCTGCTCAGCGGGGTATGCCATTATGTCTCCCTGGGCTGATGTAATTATACATTGACATAATTAACCCAGCAAGCGCATTAGGCAGGCCAGCTAAAAATTCATCTATAATTATTTGTTGTGTGCATGCTAATGAGTCCATCTGCACTGCCTTTGTACAACACGGACAAATTAATTTACAAGTCTGGATTTTTTAATAAGTTCAAGGAAACGCTTCCTATTGTGTCCAGGTTTTTGAGAAAGGAAGAAAAAGGCGATGAGCGCTTGCCAGGGTCAGGGAGGTTAGACAAACATGGGAAGGGGCAGCTCCGGGCGGGCACAGAGGGCTCGCTCCGGTTCCAGGGAAGTGGAAGAGATACAGCTCGTGGCTCAGGGGCCGGCGGGCCAGGCGCCTGTCCAAGCCAAAAGATGCCGCTCTGGTGAAAAAGGATGTCATTTAGCCCATTCTCAAAGATCAGGAATTGACGTTCTGTTCTGCTCGGAGGCCCTGTGGTCACTCCTTGCTGCCCTGTGTGCTCTGTCCAGGGGAAGCTGATCTCAGGTGGCCCCCAGAGAGTCTGGAGGAGTGGGGTGGGGCCACTCAGTACAAGTTCAGTGGGTTCCAAGGCTCTGTCTCTCTGCCTTCATTTGCCAGTACTGGGTAGAACAGAGGGATTAAGCCCTTAGAATCTGAAGTCCAGCTCTGGTTCAGATCCCCTGGGGGTCTCCCATCTTAAAAAATGGGAAATGTAAGTTTCTACTTTTCAGAAGTTATTATTGGGAAGGCTAAAAAAGATTATTGAGAGAAGCAGTGTGATTTAAGGACTGCTGGTGTCAGCTCCAGCTCCAAGTTGGCCATGTGACCTTTGGACAGTTAGTTAACCTCTCCGGTGCACACAGTAGGACTTGATAAGTGTTGGCTGCTGTTACTCTGAGAGGGGACAGCACACCCAGTCCCGCGGTGTTCTGGGAGCCAGCTGTCTGCATGGTGACACTTCATGGAGTCTCAGGACAGGGTATGCCTTGTAAATTCTCATCGGTGTCCAGCAGACTCAGAATCCAATAATCCTTCTTTGAACTCCACTCAGGGACTCAAAGATTCAGCTTAGAAAGTCACACCGAGGAGGAACAATCTGTCAATTGTCCAACACTCCCACCCCAGTGCACAGCTGGGGAAAAGTGGGGTCCTGTGACTTCCTTGAAGTCTGCCACTGAGTTGGTGGTGCGTCCCAGGTGGGCCCTTGGCCTCTTCTTCCCACACTGTGCTTCCTCCTGGATCCCCAGTTTGAGAGAGTAAGTGTGGGCAGGGAGTTCAGATGACGCAGCCAAAGTCAGGCTGTGGCTGAATCCGAACAGCCAGAGCATTTAAGTGGATTAGAACTCACTCAATCTTCACCACAACACTGTGAGGTAGGTCTACTGCGTTCCCATTTTACAGATGGGGAAACTGAGGCACGGCAGGGAGGTGCAATCGCTTCCCTAAGGTGAGGCCCAATGAGGCAGATGCTACTATTCCCGTTTTCCAGACAAAAAAATGAAGGCCCAGAGAGGAGACAGCGCGTACTCACAGTCACCGAGGTTAAAGCGGTAGAGGTGGGATTTGAATCCAGAGTGCCTGGTGACCCTCTGCAGTGGGCCAAGCTGCCTCGTGGCAGGGGATGGGGGATCTTAGGTCAGAAGCACGAGACTGAGAGTTCTGCTCTTGGCTTTGCCACCAGCTTCGTGTGTGACCTTGGACAAAGCACCAGACTTCTCTAGGCTCCACGTTCAAATTTCTATTACAAGTATATCCCAGGCACACACTCAGTCGACACTGGCTGTCATCAGAAAGCAGTGAGGTCCTGCCGAAGTGAGTGTTTTCTGGCCTTGGACCTATTCCTTGGAGCTGGAATTCTCAGGGAGGGTGATTATTAAACGCCTTCACAGCTAACACTCGAGGTCTGAACATTGTGAATCCTCCAAATTCCCAAAGCCACCCTCAGATAAAGGAGGAGGGGGACAGGCTGGGAGGCAGAGGGTCAAATCCCGGCTGTGAAACTCCAAGGAAAAGTCACTCAGGTCCTCAGTTCCCCCATCAGTAAAACGGGGATAACAGTAGGACCACCACAGGGGGCCGTGCAGGGATCCCACGAGCACCCTGAGCCCCATGACTGTGCCTGGCGCCTAGCAGACTGTAAGTGAACACTGCCGTATTCTTACGACATGCGGCAGCCGTGGGACATGCCACTCAGCTCTCCCTTCAAGAAAGAACGTCCTGTGAAGAGCTGGTGACAGTCTCCAGGTGCTGCACCTCTGGATCCACTGCAGTGGTATGAGGCCACGCTTGCCCGGGCCTGCTCCCGGCCAACGACCGAGCATGACCAGGGCAGTAGGGCCGGGCCAGTCCTGCTGATGCTGGAAAAGGCAACCTGGTATTGCAGACTGAAACGTGTCCCCCAAATCCCTACGTCGAAGTCCTAACCCCTGATGCGACTGTATTTGGAGACAGGGCCTTTAAGGAGGTAATTAAGGTTAAATGAGGTCATAAGAGTGGGGCCCAATGTGATAGCACTGGTTTCCTTATAAGAAGAGGGAGAGACACCAGAGCGGGCTCTCTCTCTCTCTGCATGTGCAGAAAGGAAAAGCCACAGCAAGAAGGCAGATTTCTGTAAGCCAGGAAGAGAGCTCTCACCAAAAACCAACCCTGCTGGTACCTTGATCCTGGACTTCAAGCCTCCAGAACTGCGAGAAATAAAATTCTGT